TTAGATCTGCTTTTTTAGACGGAAAAGTGAAAGCGACAGGACCACCCTCATTCAGCCAATCAGCTCTCAGCCAATCAGCTCTCAGCCCAAAGAGTCCAACAGTGACTCACAGGGCTCATGGTGTGGTCTGATTTACTTTTACAACTCTCTCTGTCGGACAAACTACACATGTTATTTATGAGACTAAAGTTACGTCCCTCAGCTTTAAAGTATGAATGAGACAGAAGCAGCCCCAGGGCACGGGGACCGGCCCCCCACAGAGACGCCTCTCCACAGAGCCGGTCCTGTTCTTGTTGTCATGGTGATTTCCTCCTGTTTGAGCCTCAGGGGAACACAGCGACATGTGAACTCTGGACGCCATTATTTATGAGACGTTTGGAGTCTGTCCATCTCTGAGAATGTAAAACGGAAAATACATGAATACACCACTACTCTGGTCTCTCTCTGGTCCTTCTCTCTGGTCTCTCTCTGGTCTCTCTCTCTGGTCCCTCTCTCTGGTCTCTCTCTCTGGTCCCTCTCTCTGGTCCCTCTCCCTGGTCTCTCTCTCTGGTCTCTCTCTTTGGTCTCTCTCTCTGGTCCCTCTCCTGGTCCCTCTCCTGGTCTCTCTCTTTGGTCCCTCTCCCTGGTCTCTCTCTCTGGTCTCTCTCTTTGGTCTCTCTCTCTGGTCTCTCTCTCTGGTCCCTCTCTCTGGTCCCTCTCCCTGGTCTCTCTCTCTGGTCTCTCTCTTTGGTCTCTCTCTCTGGTCCCTCTCCTGGTCCCTCTCCTGCTTTCTCTCTCTGGTCTCTCTCTCTGGTCTCTCTCTCTGGTCCCTCTCCCTGGTCTCTCTCTCTGGTCTCTCTCTTTGGTCTCTCTCTCTGGTCTCTCTCTCTGGTCTCTCTCTTTGGTCCCTCTCTCTGGTCCCTCTCCCTGGTCTCTCTCTCTGGTCTCTCTCTTTGGTCTCTCTCTCTGGTCCCTCTCCTGGTCCCTCTCCTGGTCTCTCTCTCTGGTCCCTCTCTCTGGTCCCTCTCCCTGGTCTCTCTCTCTGGTCTCTCTCTTTGGTCTCTCTCTCTGGTCTCTCTCTCTGGTCCCTCTCTCTGGTCCCTCTCCCTGGTCTCTCTCTCTGGTCTCTCTCTTTGGTTTCTCTCTCTGGTCCCTCTCCTGGTCCCTCTCATGCTCTCTCTCTCTGGTCTCTCTCTCTGGTCTCTCTCTCTGGTCCCTCTCCCTGGTCTCTCTCTCTGGTCTCTCTCTTTGGTCTCTCTCTCTGGTCTCTCTCTCTGGTCTCTCTCTCTGGTCTCTCTCTTTGGTCTCTCTCTCTGGTCTCTCTCTCTGGTCTCTCTCTCTGGTGTCTCTCTGGTCTCTCTCTCTGGTCTCTGTCTCTGGTCTCTCTCTCTGGTCTCTCTCTCTGGTCTTCTCTGTCTCTGGTCTCTGTCTCTGGTCTCTCTATCTGGTCCCTCTCCTGGTCCCTCTCCTGCTCTCTCTCTCTGGTCTCTCTCTCTGGTCTCTCTCTCTGGTCTTCTCTGTCTCTGGTCTCTGTCTCTGGTCTCTCTATCTGGTCCCTCTCCTGGTCCCTCTCCTGCTCTCTCTCTCTGGTCTCTCTCTGGTCTCTCTCTCTGGTCTCTCTCTCTGGTCTCTGTCTCTGGTCTCTCTCTTTGGTTTCTCTCCCTGGTCTCTCTCTCTGGTCTCTCTCTGCTGCTGCTGGTTCCAGATGTTTTGAAAGCAGAGGTTTATTTGTTATGTTTATGGTGCGACTCGGCTCGACATGTCGACAAATATTTGGATAATTACAGTTTTTAAAGTTGAGGAAAAGAGTTTTCCCTCGGAACACACAGGACGCTTTGTCAAAAACACTGCTCTAACTTTAAAGCTGGGGTACGTAACTTTAAAGCTGGGGTATGTAACTTTAAAGCTGGGGTATGTAACTTTAAAGCTGGGGTATGTAACTTTTTTCAGACCACATCTAGAACTAATTTATTAATAAAATCCAATCACACGTTTAGATTTTCAGATTTTTCAGACGGAAAAGTGACAAGGACCCCCCCCCTCTCTGGGCCAGTCAGCTCTCAGCCCAAAGAGTCCAATAGTGACTCATGTGGCTCAGTCTCGGTCTTTAGAGTTGTTTGGGTCCAGCTCACAGAGAGAGTCCTGACCTCGCTGACCGCTCCCTGACCTCCTGTGGAGACTTTTGGAAAACGGAAACTTCCCACGAAGCAGTGACCTGTAGAGCCCCGAGCAGCCAAGGATTTAAGATGACAAATAACTCTCACTCGCTGGCCTCTCCTCTCGTCTCTTTCTGATCTCTTTCTCTAGTCTCTCTCTGGTCTCTCTCTGGTCTTTCTCTGGTCTCTCTCTCTGGTCTTTCTCTGGTCTCTCTCTGGTCCCTCTCTGGTCTCTCTCTGGTCTTTCTCTGTTATTTCTCTTGTCTCTCACTGGTCTCTCTCTGGTCTCTCTCTGGTCTTTCTCTGGTCTCTCTCTGGTCCCTCTCTGGTCTCTCTCTCTGGTCTTTCTCTGGTCTCTCTCTGGTCCCTCTCTGGTCTCTCTCTGGTCTTTCTCTGTTATTTCTCTTGTCTCTCTCTGGTCTCTCTCTCTGGTCTTTCTCTGGTCTCTCTCTGGTCCCTCTCTGGTCTCTCTCTCTGGTCTTTCTCTGGTCTCTCTCTGGTCCCTCTCTGGTCTCTCTCTCTGGTCTTTCTCTGGTCTCTCTCTGGTCTCTCTCTTTGTATCTCTCTTTGTCTCTCTCTGGTCTCTCTCTGGTCTTTCTCTGGTCTCACTCTGGTCTCTCTGGTCTCTCTCTGGTCTCTCTCTGGTCTCACTCTGGTCTCTCTGGTCTCTCTCTGGTCTCTCTCTGGTCTTTCTCTGTGCTTTCTCTGGTCTCTCTCTGGTCTCTCTCTGGTCTCACTCTGGTCTCTCTGGTCTCTCTCTGGTCTCTCTCTGATCTCTCTCTGGTCTCTCTCTGGTCTTTCTCTGTTCTTTCTCTGGTCTCTCTCTGGTCTCACTCTGGTCTCTCTCTGGTCTCTCTCTGTTCTCCCTCTGGCCTCTCTGTGGTCTCTCTCTGGTCTCTCTCAGGTCTCTCTCTGGTCTCTCTCTGGTCTCTCTCAGGTCTCTCTCAGGTCTCTCTCTGGTCTCTCTCTGGTCTCTCTCTGGTCTCTCTCTGGTCTCTCTCAGGTCTCTCTCTGGTCTCCCTCTAGTCTCTCTGTGGTCTCTCTCTGGTCTCTCTGTGGTCTCTGTCTTTGTTGTGGACTTCTGGACAAAAGCACAGATTGTTCTTAAAGTTTCCTAAATGAGATTCTGAGTTAATTTCCCAAAGGAGGAATTTAGGAGCAGCACTTTTCTGTCCATGACCCAGTTTAGTGATAGAAGAGACATGGACTGGTTCAGCCCGGTTTAGTCCAGGTTTAGACCTGCTTTAGTCCTGCTTTAGACCTGCTTTAGACCTGCTTTAGACCTGCTTTAGACCTGATTTGGACCTGCTTTAGTCAGAGAGGGAGACCGGAGAGAAACCGAAGAGATACCGCTATGGCTTCTCTCTGACTTCTCTCAGGTCCCTCTCTCTGGTCTCTCTCTGGTCTCTCTCTGGTCTCTCTCTGGTCTCTCTCTGGTCTCTCTCTCTGCTCTCTCGCTGCTCTCTCTCTGTTCTCTCGCTGGTCTCTCTGGTCTCGCTGGTCTCTCGCTGGTCTCTCTGGTCTCGCTGCTCTCTCGCTGGTCTCGCTGGTCTCTCTGGTCTCGCTGCTCTCTCGCTGGTCTTGCTGGTCTCGCTGCTCTCTCGCTGCTCTCTCTCTGCTCTCTCGCTGCTCTCTCTCTGCTCTCTCGCTGCTCTCTCTCTGCTCTCTCGCTGGTCTCGCTGGTCTCGCTGCTCTCTCTCTGCTCGCTCGCTGCTCTCTCTCTGCTCTCTCTGCTCTCTCGCTGGTCTCGCTGCTCTCTCTCTGCTCGCTCGCTGCTCTCTCTCTGCTCTCTCTGCTCTCTCGCTGGTCTCGCTGCTCTCTCTCTGCTCTCTCGCTGCTCTCTCTCTGCTCTCTCGCTGGTCTCGCTGGTCTCGCTGCTCTCTCGCTGCTCTCTCGCTGCTCTCTCTCTGCTCTCTCTGCTCTCTCGCTGGTCTCGCTGCTCTCTCTCTGCTCTCTCGCTGGTCTCTCTGGTCTCTTTCTGCAGCTTTTCTCTTCATGTGAAATCCTGACCTTATAAAACACACAGAGTTCATTATCGGCGCTGGTTCGACGCGTTTGGAACGGAGTGTTTTGAAATGGCCCCGAGACAGAAACACGTCATGGTCCCACAGTGAGAGCAGAGGATTATTAAAACGATCTGCTTTTCTTTCAGAGAAGAAACAACAGAACGCAGCCGTAAAGTCTCACCGCACTTCAACACTGCTGCTCAGACAGACCTGCTCTAGTCCAGCTGTAGACCTGGTTTAGCCCTGGTTTGGACTTAGTTTAGCCCTGGTTTGGACCCACTTTAGCCCGGGTTTAGCTTTGGTTTAGTCCTGCTTTAGTCCTGCTTTAGTCCTGCTTTAGACCTGCTATAGACTTCTTTTAGACCTGCTTTAGTCCTGCTTTAGTCCTGTTTTAGACCTGTTTTAGACTTGCTTTAGACCTACTTCAGACCTGCTTCAGACCTGCTTCAGACCTGTTTTAGACCTGTTTTAGATCTGCTTTAGACCTGCTTCAGACCTGCTTCAGACCTGTTTTAGACCTGTTTTAGACCTGCTTTAGACCTGCTTCAGACCTGCTTTAGACCTGTTTTAGTCCTGGTTTAAATATTAGCCTGTTGTTGTGGATCCTATAGAAACAGATGGAGCAGACTTTGAACTTCCCTCGGGTCAAAAGAGCTGACCTCCCATATGTCACTGAGACTGGACCTGGTTCAGACCTGGTTCAGACTTGGTTCAGACCTGGTCCAGACCTGGTTCCGACTGGCTGGACTGTATGACGCTCAGACACTAGCAGAACAAGCAAACTGCTCAGGGATATATATGAACCGCAGATTTAAATGTATGTCCCTCAACTTTAACCCATCTCAACAGAGAGACCAGA